CCCCCCCCCCCCCCAAGACTGTCTTGCTTATGTGTGCGTTCTTCTTACTGCGTGTGTTTTCCGGCGAGGGTTAGGGGTGAGGACATCGGGGGAAGGGGGGGGCGATAGCACGTAGAGGAATAAGGGGGATCTAGAGAGGATGGGGGAAATTGTAGCCGTGGAAATGACCCTCGATGATGGTTTTTCTTTTTTTTTCTATGTATTTGTTTGCGTGGAGATCACCCTCTCGCTCCAATTGGACAAAGAAAGGGAGATGGGAGAGAGAGCGGCATGAAACTCGTAGTAGAGGGAGAGGAGAGGAGAACGAGTCGCAGGATTGAGGGAGGGATTCTCTATGGAAGACGAGGAAAACGACAAGAATGGGACTGCGTCGCCAAAAAAAAAAAAAGAGGAAAACGACGAGACGACGTGGACGTATGAGAGGAAGAGAGACCCGATGCGCCAAGAGAGAAGAAAAAAGGCAGGAAAACCAAGATGACGAAATGGCGGGAAACTGGACGGCCTTAGAAGACAGCTATTCGAAATCGCGGGAAAACTAGATGGAGAAGAACACCTGCGGGATCGACGATAGCTCGCTCAGCCACAGCTCACGCACCACTGGCGAGAAATGGCGGGAAAAATGGTAGATGATGGCGGGAAAACTGGTAGATGATGAGTCTTTACAGCGGCGGGAAACGAAATGACGGGAAAACTAGAGCCACGAACAAAGAAGACAATAGATGGGGGCTTTTTTGCAATTTTCTGGCTAACACGAACAAAGAAGACAATAGATGGGGGCTTTTTTGCAATTTTCTGGCTAAACTATCTTCCCTCTTTATTTTTCATCACCCATCGTTTCTAGCGGTTGATCTTGACGTATCCGATGGTCGAAAGGTGAAGATGCAAATCCCGGCAAAGAGAGCAAGCAGCCTCAACCTGCGCAACCTCCACTCTCCAACCTCATCAGCAAAATGGCGGGAACAAACCCAACCTGAACAATCTCCAATCTCATCAGCAAAATGGCGGGAACAATCCCAACCTGAACAATCTCCAATCTCATCAGCGAAATGGCGGGAATATGGCGGACTCTGATCCATCGGCAAATCCGTTAAAATTCGATTCGAACGGCACAGAGAAGATCTTTTTTTCTAAGATACAGAAAAGAGAAGATAAGCATCATCACGGTCCCTGCGCAAGGAAAAATTAATAAATCAGAAGAAAAAAAAAAGACAAAAACAAAGATAATGGCGGACAAGAGGATTCGAGCAAAAGTAGAACCTCATCCAGCGAACGCCGATAAACGAAATGGCGGGAACATGAGATTAGACAACGACATCGTTCACAGAGGATGCTTATGATGACACGGAACGAGTCCGAATGACCAAAACAAAAAGGGGGGGGAGAAACAGCATCTGGTTATGCAAAAAGAGAGAACATCTGCAACATGATGTACCATTAAGGGGGGGAGAGGGGGGGGGAAGCAAAAAAAAGAACCGAAAGAAAAATAAAACACGGTCTAAAGGCTATGACTACTAGGGATTGCAGTTCGCACGATGATAAATTCATTTAGTCTTGCAGTCCGTAACTAACAGGACCTAATTAAAGAAAGGAACTCTGCTGTTGTTTCATCGAAACGAAGATCGCACTCCCATTCACTCACAGCATCTCACAATTCAAAGCATCTCTCTCTCAATCATAAACTATGTCTCTCTCTCTCTCTCTCTCTCGCATCCGCGGAATGAGTGAATCCCCTAAGATTAACCCACTTCTGCGACCATGGCCATACTACCGTCTTCACCCGAATAGAACAGACGATCATAACGCACGATCAGTATCGATATATCGAGACAAAACGTTGTCCCGAATACAACGACAGTGACCGTGTGTGCTATTCGTGTGAGAGAGCATCACGATCGAAATGACCGCAGCGAGCAATCAGAGCCACAAAGGTCATCAGAACCAGAAGACAAAACACACAAAATAGAGCATCGACTCACAAAGCAACGACATGGAAAGAAAGCAGCGAAATCAGAGTCAAGGCGAGCTAAAAAAGAAAATGACTCTCTCTCTCTCTCTCTCTCTCTCTCTCTCTCTCTCTCTCTCTCTCTCTCTCTCTCTCTCTCTCTCTCTCTCTCTCTCTCTCTCTGTGTG